TGCAAGAGGCAGCTGATCGATGTTTCTAACTCTCTATCCCTCTCCCTTCCTCTCTGTAAAAAAATCAATAAAATATATTTTAAGAAAAAAAAGAAAGAAAATTGTCCAGCAAGTTATGTTATGCTCTTTACCTTTGGGGTGCCACAATTTTCATGACCTCTTTTAGCTATAAGTCTCTGGGACCATCCAATTGGAATCTCTGGCAAAGTGAAGCAGTCTCTGCCTGGATACAAAGAGTTAACATTAATATTTTTTTAAATATTCAATACAGTGCTACACTTTATGTGGATGTACACATATACTGTAAGCATAAAGCATACTAGTAAAGGGGTGTCAACCAGGATCCAACCATGCTGGCACCCTGATCTCAGACTTATAGCCTCCAGAATTGTGAGAAATAAATTTATTTTATACATACTTTATGGCAAGCATGTCAAATTCACAGCCCAACGAATATTTGTGCGGCCCAGCCAATATAATGGTATGTAGAAACCAATGTCATAACTTACATTTTTACAATATCCTGTTATACATAATTATTAATAATGAACTACAATGTTTGCTAATGACTGATTACTATAATCGTGTTGCATTCATTTCCCTTATACCCCTTACGCACAGATGTACCATTTCCACTAATACTAGCAGCAAATATTTTAGTAGCTGATGGCCACATCATTAGTCTTGTACTGACTTGTTTGGTGTGCGCAACAGGAAATATTTCACTTTCGGAGAACAAGAAAAATAGGTTTATTTGCATTACGCTTATTAATTTGTGCAGTTATTCAGTATCTGGTATGTTAATGTTCAAGGAAAAATATTAATTTTTATTAAACTTCTATTATTTTATGCTAACAATGACTCATTTATTCCAGCCCTTTGTATTCAGCATGTCTCTATCAAAATAAACCTACGTTTCTATGAAAATTGAAGCTTTTAGGGTTTTTTGTGGCCCACATAAACTTAAACTTTGTTTATTTGGCCTGTGTTAGCCTTTGAGTTTGACATGCTTGGTGTATAGAGTCTCCCCCTTGTTTAACTTGGCAATACATATTTTCTTTTTTCTTTTTTAATCCTCGCCCGAGGATATTTTTTCTATTGGTTTTCAGACAGTGAAAGGGAGGAAGGAGGGGGAAAGAGAGAGAGAGAGAGAAAAGAAAACACTGACATGAGAGAGACACATAAATTGGCTGCCTCCTACACATGCCTTGGTCAGGGCTGGGGGTTGAACCTGCAACCAAGGTTTATGCCCTTGACCAAGAATCAAACCCATGAATCTTTGGTCGTGGGCCAGTGCTCTATCCAACTGAGCCAAACTGGCCAGGGCATCAATACATATTTTCAAACCTCACATGTGTTCCTGCTCTGATATGTGTGACATTATTTTATTTACTTCCATTTCTGTCGTCTTACTTACCAATGAGATTCATATCGTCAACAAATACTTATAAGCCAGATATTCTTCTAAGGACTTGAGATACATTGGTGTGAAAGAAGAAAAAATATGCACCTTTGAGGATTACATTCTCAGAGGAAAACAATAAACATATAACTAAGTAAATTATATGGTATGTTAGCTTCTATATGTTATGAAGACATACTAAGGTCTTAGGGAGTATATTAAGGCCATGAATGTTTACTAACCATGGATCTATTGTGAGTTGCCTATTCATGTTTTTACCCAAGTTTTCTATGGACTGTTTCTTTTTTCTAATAGAATACATACACTTTTTTATTTCATAATTCTAAATACTGAAGTTTGAATCCTAATATCACTATGTCTATGATGATTTTGAAATTAGAGGTTTTCATATTTTAATACATTCAAATATATCTAACTTTCCCCTTAATACTTGTGGATTTTTTGCCTTTAAACAAAATCTTCCCTATTTTCACAGTCAAAATATAAACATTCTGTTCCTTTTGATTCTAAACATTCTATAAATGTTACTTTCTAAATTTAGGTATTAACCATTTTTTCCACTTGCGATTTATTTTGTGTGTAAAGTGTGATGAAGGGGCTTAAGTTTATTTTTGCCCTAAGAAAATCAAACAGATTAATCCAGCACTACATATTGAATAAAATGTCTTTTCTCATTCATCTAAAATTTCGCTTCAATTATGATCCAGTTTTCTACTAGTATTTGCAAATCTGTTTCTAGGTCTCTCCTCTGATTCACTGACATACTTGACCTTGCTTGTTCATCCTTGCACTCCATACAAACCACTTTGCAGAGTTGCCAGTGATACTGTTAAAATATAAGACAAATCATGTCCTGCTTCTGCTGAAAATACCTGACTGGCTCCCCATCGCACTCAGGGTAAAAGCCCAATTCCATTCTAGCACTTCCAAGGCTCTAAGCTTTCTGCTTCCCCCAGAGCCCCAGCACCTCTCTGAACTCACTTCCAGATATTCTTTTTTTAAAAATATATATATTATTGATTTTTTACAGAGAGGAAGGGAGAGGGATAGAGTCAGAAACATCCATGAGAGAGAAACATCGATCAGCTGACTCCTGCACACCCCCTACTGGGGATGTGCCCGCAACCCAGGTACAGGCCCTTGACCGGAATTGAACATTGGACCCTTCAGTCCGCAGGCCGAGGCTCTATCCACTGAGCCAAACCGGTTAGGGGTACTTGTTTCTTTTGATCATTACCACATCATAAGTGCCTGTGCCTAGAAGACTGCTGGCAGAGAGCTATTTGTGGTTACTATTGGTGAGATGAAGATAAAACAAATAAATAAAAGGGGGTCAAACTAAGGCAAAAGGGGAGCTAGTCAGTTTTCCCTGGGTCTTGCCTCAAAGCTACACACACTAATGCCTCCAGGGACAACTGGGCATTTTATTCATTAGAGTGAAGCAGGCCAGCTGGGGGCTTGGCCACCTTGAGGGAGCATCTGAGTCTATAATGGGCTGCTGTATCCTTGTAGGAACCTTGTTGGGCCCTACTTGTGAGTTACTGTTTATGATGTTTTTCAGGTGGGCCAGAAGTAAGAATTTATGGAATATGAATCCTCGCAAATGCCAAAGTAGTTCATTTAAACACAGAAAGCAATAAAAACATGAAGATCAGACAAAACAAGGCAGCTGCCTGAAGTTGGCCCATGGGTGACCTGCAGGTGAATGCCAGAATAAACTGTATGACCTATGAGAAAAACTAACCCCTGCTATGGTGAGGTGGGCTTACTTATGCCATTCTTGAGATAAACAGCTTCAGGTCATGTTGGGTGGAGAATGAAGATGAATTAACACTTTCTTTCAATTCCAGGAAGGTCCCTGCCTCCCTCTCCTCCTGCTATGCATGGAGTTTGGGGAACACTGGCAGTGAGGAATCATCAGAACTCTTCCATTATGAGCAGGTATATTTTCGTGAAGTGGGAAGTGGGTAAACCAGAGTTTTAAGGGGAATGTCACTAATAGGTCTAGGAAAGGAGAAGAAGAGAGGAAGAGAAAGACGTAGACAGACCCATGCATCAAGACACCATATCTCTGAGGGACTTTATTGGGGTTACTGCAGCCTCACACCAACAAGCACTACACCTCTCTGTGGCAACACAGAGCCGAAGGAGTGACACCCAACCACGGATCCCAGCCTGACTGCCCATGCCATCTAGCTCACCTGGAAACACAGCCCCACTAACTCCCAGCACTGGTCCCCCTGTGCCTGGGCGGGCAAAACTGGCCAGCAGTTCCGGGAGAAGTCAGTAGCCAGCCCACCTGTTGGGATACAGCCAACAGATGGGGCTTCTGGGGACAGCAGACCTCAGCTTGGTGGGCACTGGCTGGAGCCACCTGTGAGAGGCATGGACTGAAGCCAACTATGAGAAGTCTGGACTGGCATGCCCATGCCCTGGAGAGAAACAGGAGGCACAATCCTCTGATGTCCCTCCTCTGAAGGAAGCAAGGTTCAGTCCAGCCAGAGAAAGAACAATGAAGGGACTGATGCTGCTGGGTTCTGCAAGGTCCCAGTTTTGTGGATAAAATACTTTCCAAATGCCACATGGCACAGCTCTTCAGATCTGAGAGCCCCGCCGACCTATTCCCACAGGAATTGCTTAGACAGTGTAGGGTAAGGAACCAAGACCTTCAGGTCCAGGATTTGTTGCACCTGGATCCTCTGAGCAATGAGGCCACCCACAGCCACATGCTTAATGCACAATGCCAGTGTGTTTAGGCTGAGGGTCAGGGGTTCTGCTTTGCAGTTGTGGCATGAAGTCCCTGAAATAAGACTTTTAGGTATAAACCTGGCTCCTGCTTGACCCTTGAGTCATCCCTGTCAAAATACCCGTCCAGGGAACCTGCAAGCCACCTGGTTTCTTTCGGTTGCCTCATGCTTTGTGCCCAGAGCCAGGGACAGCAACGTGGACATGTCAGAAGTGCAAGTTTTTCCTGGGCCTTCCCATCTCTCCTGGGCCCCACTCCCCACACCTCTTTTTCTGCAGCTCACTCCCTTGGTCAGTCTTTCTTCTTGGAATTCCTCCTTCTTCAGTATCCCTGGCCCTTTGGTCCTCACATGCACAGGTCCTACCTCAGAGTAAGTATCCTTTAGCGTCTCCCCAAATCCCTGCCAACTTTGTCTTTCTCCCCTAGCCCTGGACCTCTTCTGAGATTCTTTGTGCCTCTCTCTACTCAAGCTATTCAGTCTGTTTTCCTCTAAGCCCCAAGAGCTCCCTCTCCCTCTGTTATTCTCATCTCCTCCCAGTTGGGTGCCGCCCCCTGCTAAGACATCCCTCCCCCCAGGAAGCCCCTCCATTTCTGGCCCTCCCCACTTCTTCCTAAGCAGTAACCTCCCCTTTGCCCTCCCCCCACAGCCCATCTCTAGTTCCTTCTCCTCCCTCCTTCCTAGGCCAGGCCAGCTAAGTCCTCTTCCATTTTTAGATGACTGATTATGATGCTAGCTGCACTTTATTCACAGCCTGAATCTACAGCTGTCCCTTCCTTTCATGCCCATCCACCCAACACACCCAGTCTCTTCAACATGATAAAGTCCTTCCACACGGCATGTCATGTCCACACACATTTGTATTTTTCAGAACAAATCAACATTATGCTGGCGACGGTGCTGGCAAAGGGAGTCTAAAGCTTTCTATACATTAAAAGCTACATTTTTTCTGCCTCCAAATCAAACATTTGCCTCCACAAATATGGCAAATTGTACCCTAAGAGCACCTTTTCACCAAATCATAGACATAGATATGGAAATCATCATCAAACTTAATAAAATACACAGAAGGTTTGGCTTTGACTTGGTGAATAACCTTGCCTGTCCGTTTGGAGCCATCTTCTTTGGTATATTCCACATGTTTGCCTATCAGGCCATCTACAACTCCTTCTGGCTCCTTCTCCGCTGAAGGAGGCTCACTGGGCTCTGGCATGATACGCAAATCTCCTTCCTTATAGTCATCCAGAAGCTGGTACATGTACAACACAGGATCTTTCTCATAGGTGATATAAAACCACGATTTCATGATTGGTGCTTGGGCTAACACCATCCCTCTCCATTCATCCTTAGCACCATGCTCGCCCTCAAACATATGCTCCACCGCTTTGCCAATGATGGTGTTGGCAAGGCGCGCATCTCTGACTCGAGACAATGGCACCTTATCAGGAAGGATTTTAAGTTTTAAAATCCTTTCATCTGTGTGAAGCTCCAGTCCATAGACACAGTCAATCCCATCATATTTCACCAGATAAAGAGAGGGGTTTATAGGCACCTGATCCAGAACGGTCCCTTTCCATTGGGTGACGGGCTCGTCGCCTTCCTTCCATCCGTGGGAAACCCTGCAGCCCACGATGTTCCTGGGGGGCTGGGACGAAGGTCTGCTCCTCTGCTTCTTCTGAGATGTTTTTTTCTTCTTCACATTTGCAGATCCAGTGTGGTGACTGACTGCGTCCCCGGTTTCTTGCTCTGCAGGTACCTTTTTGTGAGAGGTCTTCATACCTGCAGGGGGAGGAAAGAGGCTAGAAAGAAACATTTAGTATATTGTAGCATGAATTAATTTCTCTATCACAAAGTCGCTGGGCACCAGGTACATTGCTGCCCAAATTATTCAGATACGTCCAGCAAGAATACTGGTTATCGCCCTGGCTGGTTTGGCTTAGTTGTATTGAGGACTGAAGGGTCCTGGGTTGGATTCAGGTCAAGGGCACATGCCTGGGTTGTGGGCTGGATGGGGGTGAGGGGCGTGCAGGAGGCAGCCGATCAATGATTCTCTCTCATTGATATTTCTATCTCTCTCTCCCTCTCCCTTCCTTTCCAAATTAATAAAGAAATATTTTTTGAAAAAAGAATGCTGGTTATTAAGATAGTTTTGGATGCTTGGATGCATGCCCGCCCTCCAGGCTCCTAGTTTTAGAGAGGTGGTGGTTGTTTTGATTGAAGACCCAACAACAAGGATCAGGTTCCTCTGCATAATGCCTGTCCCTCTGTTGTTATCCTAGAGTCCTTACAGCACACACAAATATTCACAATTTCTTAGGCCCCCCCACCCCATCCCCCACCTCATCTCTTCATTTCCACTATTGTAGTGCACATGTCCTTTGCCCATCGCAGTCTGCACTTCATTCCTCTTTTTTTAAATATACTTCTTTATTGATTTTATTGGTTTCAGAGAAGAAGGGAGAATGAGAGAGAGATAGAAATTTCAATGATGAGAATAACTACCCGCTGCCTCCTGCACACCCCCTACTGGGGATTGAGCCCGCAATCCAGGCATGTGCCCTTGGCTGGAATTGAACCTGGGACTCTTCAGTCCGCAGGCTAACGCTGTATCCACTGAGCCAAGCCAGCTAGGACACACTTCATCCCTCTTCATTCCCATAATGATGCCTTCTGCCTGCTGTTCATGTCTCTCCTTCACCTCCTTCCTATTCATGGCCACTTTCCCGCTGGGTGCTCACAACAAACTCATTTCCTTTGCTAGCCACCTTTGTACACTAACCAGGTGTTTGTCCACTCCCTCCTCCCACCTCCAGTCTCCAAGTCACTCTTCTCCGTCTCCTGTCCCATCCTGGCACCGGCCCCAATGGTCTTGCCTGAAGCACACCAACCCCCATCCTCCAGCTCTCCAGTCCAGCGCCCACCTCCCCGCGCCCGGGGATCGCGGGCTTCACGTGGCCAAAGAGAGGACACCTGGCTGCTGCCTTCACTGTGAACCTGTGAGGAAAGTGGATCAGCAGGCGCCGAGCCGCGAGCTTGGAAGAGCTGGTGGGGGAGGATCCGCGGACGAGGAGCGCGTCTAAGAGGGCGGCGGGGCGGGCGAAGAGGATGGCGGCTGTGTCTCCAGCACTGCGCTCGCGGACCCTCCGACTCCCAGGCGGCAGCAGAAGCCCCTCGGCCACTCCGGGATCCCGCCAGCCGCTAGGGCTGCAGCAGTCTCCTCCCTCCGGCCGCAGCTCCGCTTCCTGCCAGGCCTCCCCTTCCTGCCAAACAACGTGCGCTCCCCTCCCCCAGCTCTCACACGCCCACCTCGGCCCCGGGCTTGGGAAACGCGTCTGGGCTCCCGGGCCCGCCCCTTTCCAAATCCCAGCCCACAGCCCCCCTACCCTACCACCTAGCGTCTCTTTCTCCAGTTCAGAGCCCTCCGGTTCCCCACCCCCACCTCACCCCACCCCCACCTCGGTGCCCCTGCCCCATCTGCTTTTCATCTTCTAGGAATTCGCCCTTTCTTTTCCCCGTGCCTTTCTGGAGTTACCGAAACCTTCCTTTCCTGTCATTAAAGGGGATTTGTGGTAGGATAAGAGAAGTGCACTAGTGCTCAGTCTGCCATCTTGACCCAATCAATCTCTAAGGTAAATTTTACTGTCTGGTCATTCCCAGACTTTACTTCTTGAGGATAGTTTTTTTCTACCCCCCCCCCACCCCCACCCTCCCCTTTTTTTTTTTGTTTCCACCGATCGAAAACAGAATTGCATGCACAATGTAAATACTGTAAAATTCAGAAAATTCACTTTAAGAAGATAATCCACCCTAAATCCACTTCTCATGCACCAGGGCTCAGAGCGAAACATTAGCACTCATTATCTCCTTTGCCTTTTTTTTTTCTAATCTCTTAGAAATCTGGGATCATTTTGCAAAAATCAGTTGTTAAAAATTATTTGTAAAATAATTTATGATATTTTGATATACTGTATGTAGCAATATTAGAAGTACTGCTCTCCATTAAAAATTAATTTTACGTATTTTATTGAAGCATTTAAAATTAGAAATAAAATATTACCAATAAAATTTAATTCTCTATTCTCCTCAAGCCCTGATCCTATTCCCTTCTCCTTCTCTAATGTTAATATTTATTATTCAATTTCTGTGTATTCGACCATCATACACACACAAATACTATGCATTTTCTGTCTCATATTTGTTTTCTAAATGTACATTATGAAGGATAATTACTCCATAATCTCAGGGAAAAATCATTGTTTAAAAATTTGTTTTATTTACTTTTTTGTTGTTGTTTTTTTAATTAAATTTAATTTTTTCCCATCACCATTTATACATCCCCCCCCCCCCCCATTTAACCTTTTCTACCTCCATCCACACCCCTCCGGGCAAGGCAATCACCACACTTTTGTCCCTGTCCATGAATTCTTTCTCTTTTTTTGTTCTTTTTTGCTCAATCCCTCCACCTCCCTAACACCCCCCCAACCACCAGAGCTGTCTGCCTCCTCTCTATGAGTCTGTCTCTATTCTGCTTGTTAGTTCAGTTTATTAAATTCCACATATGAGTGAAATCATATGGTAACTTGTCTTTCTCTGACTACCTTATTTCACTTAGCATAATGTTCTCTAGGTCTATCCATGCTGTCACAAAGGGTACAATTTTCTTCCTTTTTACCATTGTGTAAATTTACCATGGCTGTTTTATCCACTCATCTGCTGATGGGCACTTGGGCTGCTTCCAAATCTTGGCTATTGTAAATAATGCTGCAATGAACAGGGGTGCATATATTCTTTTGAATTACTGTTCAGGTTTATTCCAATCAATTTTCCAAAGTAGAATTTCTGGGTCATAAGGCAGTTCTATTTTTAATTTTTGGAGTTAACTCCATACTGCTTTCCACAGTGGCTGCACCAGTCTGCATTCCCAGCAACAGTGCACTAGGGTTCCCTTTTTTGCACATCTTCACCAAGACTTGTTGATTTATTGATGGTACCCATTCTGCCAGGTGTGAGGTGATATCTCATGGCAGTTTTAATTTGCATTTCTCTGATGATTGAGTATCTTTTCATATGTTTATTGGCCATCTGTGTGTCCTCTTTGGAGAAGTGTCTATTTAGGTTCTTTGCCCATTTTTTAATTGTATTTTTTTGGGTTTATTTTTTGCTGTTGAGTTGTATGACTTCTTTATAAATTTTGAATAATAACACCTTATCAGAATCTTCGACGAATATGTTCTCCCATCCAGTGGATTGTCTTTGCATTTTGTTGATGGTTTCCTTTGCTGTGCAAAACTTTTTAGTTTGATGTAGTCCCATTTGTTTAGTATTTCTTTTGTTTTCCTTGCCCAAGGAGATATATCAGAAAAAATTATTGCTATGAGAAATGTCTGAGATTTTACTGACTATGTTTTCTTCCAGGATTTTTATGGTTTCGAGTCTAACATTGGTTACTTTACAACAAGTCTTTAATCTGTTTTGTGTTTTTACTTGTATGTATCTGTCCAGTTTTCCCAACACCATTTATTGAATAGACTATCTTTAGCCCATTGTATGTTTTTGCCTCCTCTGTCAAATATTAATTGACTATGAGGGCATGGGTTTATTTCTGGGTTCTCTATTCTGTTCCATTGATCTATATGTCTTTTTATGCCAGTATCATACCATTTTGATGACTATGGCCTTGTAGTATAGTTTGATTTCAGGTAGCATGATTCCTCCAACTTTGTTCTTCTTTCTCCAGATTGCTGTTGCTATTCAGGGTCTTTTGTGGTTCCGGATAAATTTTCGGAATATATGTTCTAGTTCTGTGAAATACACCATTGGTATCTTGATAAGAATTGCATTGAATCTGTAGATTGCTTTGGGTAGGATGGACATTTTATTTTATTTTTTTAAATTTTGTTTTATTGCTCAAAGTATTACAAAGAGTATTACATATGTCTCCACCCCCCTTGACCTTCCCCAACCTCCCCTACTCCCCAGTGTCTTGTGTCCATTGGTTATGCTTATAAGGATGGACATTTTAATTCTGCCTATCCATGAACACAGTTATGCTTCCACTTACTTATATCTTCTTTAATTTCTTTCTTCAGTGTCTTATAATTTTTGAAGTAAAGCTCTTTTACATTCTTGGTTAAATCAATAATGAACTATCAGAAATGGAAACTGAGAAAAAAACAATGCCATTAACAATTGCTTCAAAAATAATAAAATAGCTAGGAAAAATTCATTATTTTTTATTGACCAACACCTGACATTTCTGGGATATGGCATTTGGTCATTATGACTTGGCTGTATATACTGTGCAGCTGATGGGACTATGACACTTCTACATGTTGTAAAGTAACCAATAATATATTTAGTTTTAAAAATGTTTTCAAGAACTTCCTTTTTTTACTATATAAATCTACTCTTATGATATTCAAAAAAAAGTCTTGTTTTTTTATTTTTTACTAGAGACCCACGAATTCATGCACCTTGAAAGGAACTGTGGGCCAGAGGCTGCAGTGGGCACAGGGGTGGTCTCGGCCCTTCCTCCGCACCCTTGCCCGGCCCCTTCCGCCTCAACCTCCCCCCCACCCCCGCCCTGTCCTCTATCTGCCAGCAGCCCCACTCCTGCAGCTGCCACTAGCCCCGCTCGGAGTGATTGGGGCTGGCACCAGCAGCCGGTGCAAGCAGGGTCAGCACCATCAGTGGGTGTGAGCAATGGCTGCTGACTCCGATCACCCCTGATGGCTTCTCCACCTCCCCCTGCCCCTGAGGGGTGATCAGGGCAGCAGCTGCTGCTCGTACCCGCTGATTGCACCAAGCAATCAGGACCAGCACTGGGCACTGGCAGTGGGTGCGAGTGGTAGCTCCAGCACCAGCAGTGGGTGCGAGCAGCAGCTGCTGCCCTGATCGCCCCTCAGGAGCAGGGGGAGGTGGAGAAACCCTGAGGGGCAATCAGGACTGGCAGCTGCCTCTCGCACCCTCTGATGGTGCCGAGTGATCAGGGCTGACGCCAGGCGCCAGCAGTGGGTGCAAGCGGGGCCAGCACTGGCAGCAGTTGTGAGCACTGGGTGGGACTGTGGCATGGCAGCAAAGAATTTTCAGTAACCACCAAAGGCTCGCCCCAGTGACAACGACTGGTGTCCCCCGCCTTGGTCTGGCGTCCCTGCTCACCTGCTCCACCATCCTGCCATGGCTGATGCCCGCCATGTTCTGCACACATCCCCTGGTGGTCAGCGCACATCATAGCAATCGGTTGTTCCACTGTTTGGTCTATTTGCATATTAGTGTTTTATATATATAGATAATTACATTGTCAACAAGCCTAAAAAAGAACTCTGATATTTCTCTTAATATAACTTGACTGACCTTTATTTTTTAAACATAAGTTTTATCACAGGTATGTTATTTTTCTAAATCTTGCTTTTATTACTCAATATTTTGTTTTTAAAATTTATGTGTTATATTTCTAACATTTCTTGTTACCTTCAAACTCTTGCAAAGTAGACATATATGACAATTTGTCATCCATTGAACAATATATTCAAGTATCCATTCCACTTTTTTAAAAAATATATATATATGTTTTATTTATATACACGTATATATTTTTTTATTGATTTCAGAGAGGGAAAGAGACAGAAACATCAATGATGAGAGAATCATTAATTGGTTGCCTCCTGCATGCCCTCTACTGGATATTGAGGCCACAACCAAGGCATGTGCCCTTGACTGGAATCGAACCCAGGACCCTTCAGTCTGCAGGCTCTAACCACTGATCCAAACCGGCTAGGGCCCGTTCCACTTTTGATGATCATTTTGGTTCATTTCAAATTTCAGTTTTAAAAATAATGCTGCAACAAATATCTTTCTGTACTTGTTCCAGAGTATCTGTGTGTATGTACTAAAAGAAGAAATATTGAGTTGTATGTATAAGCACTTCAAAATTCATAAATGGTGCCAAATTGCTACATTAATTGGCTATACCAAATTATGGTATACTCATCATTGTAGGTATTCCATCTTCTCTATATCCTAGACAACTCTTGATATATCATCCTTCTGGTGTGTGCCAAACTAGTGAGTGAGGAATAGCAACTCATTGTTTTAGTTTACATTTTCCTGATTATTAGTGAATTTCATCTTATTTTCTTGTGTGTGCTTTTGGGGGGGGGGGGCTGGCATTCAGTATTTCTGTTGTGTGAGTTTATCTTCACATATTGCTTTTGAATTGTTAATCTTCTTTTCATTCACTTACA